CCCGCCTCAGCCTCCCAAAGTGCTGGGATTACAGGCATGAGCCACCACGCCCGGCCTTAAAAATTGTTTTTTTTTAGTTAGAAAAAAAGGAAATGCATGAACATCAAACTTTTGAACAGTGGTTATCTCTGGGAGATGAAGTGAGATTTGATAGGGAGCAGTGTTAAAGAAGCTTTTCATTTTTTATTCTATTGATTCTATATGTGTCTGCTTGAAACTTTTGTTTTTTTCAAGACCGAGTCTTGCTCTGTAGCTAAGGCTTGAGTGCAGTGGCGTAATCTCGGCTCACTGCAGCCTCTACCTCCTGGGCTCAAGTGATCCTCCCACCTCAGCCTCCTAAGTAGCTGGGACTATGGGCATATGCCAACATAGCACATTTTTTTTTTTTTTAAAAGAAACGATCTCGCTGTGTTGCCCAGCTGGTTTTGGTTTTGAACTCCTGGGCTCAAGCAATCCTTCTGCCTTGGCCTCTCAAGAGTGCTGGGACTATAGACGTGAGCCACCTCGCCCAGCCCTGTTTGAAACTTCTAAGACAAAAACGTATTTACACTTTGTGAAATTAAATTTTTGATAATAGGACTCAGAAACTCAACCAGAAGAGATAATATAACGAATAAGCCAGCAAAAACAAGCCTCTCTCTTTATCCCCCTCCCACCGTCTTTTTGCCACAAGCCTCTCTCTTTATCTCCCTCCCACCCTCTTTTTGCCATTCAGTGTGAGGTGGGTGGAACCTGATCACCCCAGCAACCTTCTCACTTCCTGAAACGGCAGCAAGAATCCTTGTAACAACTACTCTAAAAATAGGATGTGCACAGTTATATTGAGTCAAGAAAGCCTTAAAAAAGGCATCCTTCAGGAATGAATCGTGAAGCAAGGTACCGTACGTGATGCTAGAATAGGAGAATAATGGTCCTGACAGTTCCCTAGTCTCATACATGAGGTCCCTGGCTACTCAGTCGGGGTATTTTTCCTTGAGAGGTGACGCAGGAGATGTGGGGGATAACTGAATTCCTGTACAGTTAACCCTTCCATGGATTATGTACTTTTTGGATTATTTCTAGCACCTTCTAAATCCTAAAGGGATTTTCCCCTACTGTTCAGCATTCTTCTGAGTCATCTCCCAACCTTCTTCAGTTGGTAGTTCAAGGAATGTAAATTAGTTTTCTATTAGCCTAAACAAACATAATTGGAAAGGAAAATCCCTTGAGGCAAAGAACACCTATCAAAGCCAAACAAATTACCTCTGACCATTGTAATCAGGGAAATAAATGAGGAACCAATGTAATTATCTTTTTCATCGCTAGAGAAAGTGTTTTAATGTTTTCTTTTATAGATTTCTTCAGTATTTTATCATCCTGATGTTCTTTTATATTTGTGTTAAATCACTCATTCTTCAACGTGAGCCCATTCTCTTTTGAGGGCAGCAGGAAAGTGGATGAGCTAGCCTCATTTATTCTAAATGCACTTTCCATCCTTGTCAATGTACAAACATGGTAATTTTATGCGCATTTCTTTTTATAGTTACTTAACCCACATACATATTATTTTTAACATCACTGTGACATTTTCTAATAGTAGCTGCCATGTCTACAATGAGTCATGTACTCTATTAGGAATTTTATACATATATTATTGTATTTAATCCTCTCAGCCACCCTACAAGGTAGATGTAATTATCGCTAATGTATAAATGAGGAAATCGAGGCTGACATATTTTTGATGAGTAAAAGAACTAATAGAATATTGGGAGTGAGACAGCAAATTGTCTTATTCTGAAGCCCACCATCAACCCATAATGCCCTGCTTTCCCCTATCATGTTGTTATATTATGGTTTCTTTAGCTGATTCCCTACTACTAGGCATTTTGAGTTATCTTTGATTTTGTGGCAGCCATAATATCTTATGAAAATTTTTTGTGACCATAATCATCCTGGGTCTCAACGTAGCTCAGCCTCGCCAGACTCACATAGCACTGCCCAAATGTCATTTTAGAATGAATTCCAGGCCTGATGTGGTGGCACATCCCAGCCACTCAGGAGGCTGAGGTGGGAGGATCCCTCGAGCCCAGGAGGTTGAGGCTGTAGTGAGCTAGGATTGCACCACTGTACTCCAACCTGGGTGACAGAGTGAGACCCTGTCTCTAAAAAAACAGAATGAAATAAAAAATAAATAAAATGAATTCCAATCTTCATTTTGTCTCTTTCAAAGAAAACAGGAAATCCAGTTCAACTCATAGCCATACTCCTCCAGTCTTCCTTCACTCCCGAGCTCTCCCACACTAGCTACTGTAGAGGCTACTATCACCCCTGTGACTCCCATCAAGCCAGTTTTCCAACTGTTCTCCCTCTCTCTCTTCTCACCTTCTTTTTGGCTCTTTATTTCATAGATCAATTCAGCTTCTGGGGCCAGTTCCTCTGGCCTTAGCCATTCTGGCCTGGTTTCTCTCTACTCATTCTCCTGAGAACCCATCCGAAAGAGCTGGGAAAAAAGTCTCCTTTTTTTTGGGGGGGGACGGAGTCTTGCTCTGTTGCTCAGGCTGGAGTGCAGTAGCTGGGATTACAGGCGCCCGCCACCATGCCTGGCTAATTTTTTTTTTCTTTTTTTTTTTAAAGTAGAGATGGGGGTTTCACTGTGTTAGCCAGGATGGTCTCGATCTCCTGACTTCGTGATCTACCTGCCTCGACCTCCTGAAGTGCTGGGATTACAGGCGTGAGCCACTGCGCCCAGCCAGAAGTCTCCTTTTATGGCAGTTGGAGATACGGCTTGTATAGAAACGGGGCTAGAAGTCAGGGAACACTCACATATGAATCAGTTTTATTCCTGTGGTCTTCGCAGTTAAAGTTTCTGTTTTTTCATTTTAGGATCCCCCTCCTCCCCACCACAGTGATAGTCTCCAAAGTGAGATTTGTGGGTCATTGAATAAATCTATAATAGTGGATAGTTTTAATTAGGAAGTATTTCTACTGTTATTCTACTGTTAATTTTTTTTTTTTTTTTTGAGACGAAGTTTTTGCTCTTGTTGCCCAGGCTGGAGTGCAATGGCACGATCTTGGCTCACTGCAACTTCCGCCTCTCGGGTTCAAGCAGTTCTCCTGCCTCAGACTCCTGAATAGCTGGGATTACAGGCATGTACTACCATGCCCAGCTAATTTTGTGTTTTCAATAGAGACGGGGTTTCTCCATGTTGGTCAGGCTGGTCTCGAACTCCTGACCTCACGTGATCCAGTGGCCTCGGCCTCCCAAAGTGCTGGGATTACAGGCGTGAGCCACCGAGCCTCTACTGTTAAAATTTATGAAAGGCCGTTGTTTTGGACTGAGCTCCTATACTAGGCCCCAACAGACCAAACCAACCCGGAATGGAGGCACTCTCACGTAATCAAACTGAACTTTAAAAAGGGCCAGTTTAAATTAAAAATGAAAAACAGGACCGACCAAACAAACAAACCCAAAACAGGAGATTCACAGCCACCAATCTGAAGGGTCCCAGTTTATCTGAGCTGGCATAAGAAAGTCTTATGTGTTAATCTTATGAGGAAAGTAACTCTGAAATAATCAATCCACTTTTTGTTCCTTATTTCTCCTTTTTTAAAATTTACTTTATTATTATTCTTTTTCTCTGACGGGGTCTCTCTCTGTTGCCCAGGCCAGAGTGCAATGGCATGACCACAGCTCACTGCAGACTCCACCACCTGGGCTCAAGCAATTCTCCCACCTCAACCTCCCGAGTTTCTGGGACCACAGTTGTACACCACCATACCCAGCTAACTTTTTACTCTTTTGTACGGATGGGGTGTTGCTCAGGCTGGTTTCGAATTCCTGGGCTCAAGAGATTCTCCTCCCTCTGCCTCCCAAAGTGCTGAGATTACAGACATGAGCCACCGCACTGGGCCTATTTCTGCTTTCTTCAACCCTTTTCCAACCCTGAAGCCAACCAACCTCCTCTGCTCAACTCTGAGGACCTGCTGTCTGTTCTTTTGATGGGATGCTGCCTGATTCATGAATCGCTAATAAAAGCCAATTAGATCTTTAAATGCAATTTGTTGACATTTTGTTTTTTAACACTATTAATTTAAAAAAAATCAAGTTGACCCTTGAGAAGCCAAAAAGAAAAAAAAAATCAAATTAAATTTAAAATATATTGTATAACTATAATGAAGTTAACTTGTCGTAATGCTTGCAAAAAATAAATTTTTCCTTTACATGCCTTTTTAGGTAGTCAGTGTATTTTATGATTACGACTAAACGATTATAAACAGATTATAAAATTCTGTTTATAGTCAGGTGTGGTGGCTCACGCCTGTAGTCTCAGCACTTTGGGAGGCCAAGGTGGTTGGATCACGAGGTCAGAAGTTCGAGACCAACCTGACCAACATGGTGAAACTTTGTCTCTACTAAAAAAAAAAAAATACTAAAGTTAGCCAAGTGCGGTGGTGCGTGCCTGTAATCCCAGCTACTTGGGAGGCTGAGGCCGGAGAATCGCTTGAACCCACAAAGTGGAGGTTGCAGTGAGCCGAGATTGCGCCACTGCACTCCAGTCTGGGTGACAGAGCGAGACTCCATCTAAAAAAAAAAAAAAAAAAAGTCTGTTTATAACTGTACTGAATATCTATATCTGAAATGCAATAATATACAAAAATACAGCCAGCTGAAACTTCCCTATTTTCTCTTCCCCAATGGGCTAGGGAAGAAAAGAGATTTAGACTTCCAGTGAAGTGGCTCACTGAGCTGGTAGGTGTTCTTTCCTTCCTCTCTTTTGGTTTTGGGCAGTCCCAAGGTGCTCATCCTTGGTCATTCCCTGATCTTGGGTGTTGTTCAGGGCAATCTCTGAGGAAAATTGTGAGGTAGCCAATTGTTGGACGTACCCTGGCTTCCTTTGGCATTCACTTCCTCTCTTCAAGTCCTCCTTTATCAACACATCCTCTCCGATCATATCAGTCATTTACATACTAGTGAGAATTGACTCCAATATACTTTCCTTCTCAGGGATATTTGGTTGTAATACTTTATCTCCAATTGTGAATACAAGGGTTTGTTTCTGGTCCTGCCGTTTTAAGCACTGATGGGATAATGCAGAAACTATTTGTGGGGAGGAGCTGTGCAGTTATTTTCCCTTAAAATTGTCTTTTATAAGCAGATATATTCTCAGTTTATGAATATGGGCAGCTCCCAATTTATTGTTCATATGTGACTGCAAGTTTTGAGGTCACATGCACTTCTGTGTACACACTTAGGTCATGCACATGCTCCCATATAAATGTGAGAGAAGACAGGTGGCAAAGCATGGAATTTGCTGATAGGGAAATAAATACTTGATTTGCACTAGAAATAAGTTACTAAACTCCCTTTCTGTGCCATTGTCATCTCTTACTTGTAATGAATCTGCTATCAGACTAAACCTGGAGCTTTTTACATTTTGCTTTCTTTTGTTTTTCCAGTTTGACAAATGGACAGACTCTCAGAGAAGAAGAATCCTCACAGGCCTGTTGGAGCGCTGCTCGCTGTCCCAGCAAAAGTTCTGCTGTCGAAAGCTTCAAGAGAAAATTCCAGCAGAAGCCCTGGACTTTACAACCAAGCTTCCAAGGGTGTTATCTTTATACATCTTTTCTTTCCTGGACCCCCGGAGCCTCTGTCGTTGTGCACAGGTAAAGGCAAGGAAGGAGTATGTGGTGTTTTCTGAGAACAGCCTTAGCAAACTTGAAACTAGAAGTAGTTAAGGGGAAACACACACATACACACACACATATACACACATACACACAAACACAGACATATACATAAACACACTCATATACACACATACACACACAGACATATACACAAACGCACTCATATACACACATACACACACACACACGTACACACACACACATAAACACACATACACACATACAAGCATATACACATACACACAATTACACACAAATACAAACACAAACACACACAAACACATACACACAAATACACAAACACACATACACATATACACACATACACACATACAAACATACACACACAAATACATATGCACACACACAAACACACTTGAACACACATACACATACACAGACATACAGATAAACACAAACATACACATACATACACAAACACACATATACACACACACACGAAACTAAGAAAGAGATGGGAAGATCAGTATGTTCATACATTTGTATTAACCTTCACCATCTTTGCATCCAACTCTGTTTAGAACTCAAATGGGGAAAAAAGTATAGGCCACATTAGTATACAACAAAGAAGTATTAGCTAGTTGGGGAATTACATATACATGTAAGAAATGGTTCGTCAGCAGGATGGTCTTATACTGTACGGCATTCAGTTGCAATAAAGTCCTCAATTGTACAGTGCAGGTCATTCATGAATAAAAAAGCTCAAAATAAGGACCTAAGGAGATATGTACAAAAGAGAATGAGACTAAAAGAGATCCAAGTGGGCAGGTGTGCTCATACAGGCCTTGGAAAAGGAGGTGATTGTTATTATTTTTTTCCTTTACAAGTAATTCCGTCCTGTATTAAAATGAAGTTAAATTATTTTAGATATAAAACTGGTAGTCATTTTATTGAGTCTTTTCATAGAGTCTGGCAAGACTGGAAATTACCCGCCAGTGTGCATTCATATATGTGTGACATGTTAACTTGAGTTTTTAAAATTAAGAAAATGAATGCAGGAGGAAAGATGGATCTGGGTGTGGTGGCTCACACCTGTAATCCCAGCACTTTGGGAGGCCAAGGTGGGAGGATTGTCTGAGCCTAGGAGATCAAGACTAACCTGGGCAACATAGGGAGACCTCATCTTTACAAAACATTTTAAAATTAGGTGGGTGTGGTGATGTGTGCCTGTGGTCCCAGCTACTTGGGAGGCTGAAGTGGGAGGACTACTTGAACCCAGAAGGTTGAGGCTTCAGTGAGCTGTGACTGTGCCACTACACTATAGCCTGGGCAACATAGTGAGACTCTGTCTCAAAAAAAAAATGTATTATTCAATAAATGGTATAGGGACAATTGAGCAACTCTCTGGAAAAAAAAAATTAAGTAGTATAAAAGACAGATGAAACCAAAGGAAACCATTAAAGTCCTCAAAGAAAACAGGAAAGGATGTCAGTATTCCATCATACCCAGAAGTCTTAAAAGAAAATACACAATTTAAAATCTTGCTTCCTCCATTTTTTGTATCATGAGCAAGAATGAAGAAAGCAGATTTTTAAACTGTGACTATAAAAATTAAAATATTCTTCATGGAACAGAACACCATAAATAAATCCAAACAGTAGGCAGGGAAAAAAAATCGATTGCATGCAAGGGCTAATTTCTTTATTTTTTTTTAAAGAGCTCTTATAAATCTATATTAAGAAAAAAAAAAAAAAAAAGACCAACAACCCAGGAGAAAAATGAGCAAAGGAAATGAACAAGTAATCTACAGAAAAAGGAATACAGATGTCTCTAGAATATGTAAGATGCTTAGCCTCATTCTGGCATGCCATCTTTCATGACTCAGATTGAGATTTGTTTTAAATGATAATATTCTATATTGGTGAGGATGTGGGAAAGCAAGAACTTTCATATATTGCTGGTAGATAAATTGATGTAACCACCATGGAGAACCATTGGGCAGTGTTAACATTTCAAATAAAAATTCCCTTTGTCCCAGCAGTTCCACTTCTTGGAATTTGTCTGATGGGTATCCTGCAACGTGGTAAAAGCCACACTTGTATAAGAATATTGCACGATTCTCTGTCCTAGCAATAGGTTGGAAACAATGAAAATATCTACCAGGAGGGACTGGGTAAATAAACTGCAACTATCTCCAAGATATGTCATTGGTTAAAAAAAAAAAAAAGCAGAGGTGTAGAACTATCCTACCACATTTTGAAAAGAATAAAGAATATATACAGCCAGGCACAGTGGCTTGCCTGTAATCGCAGCACTTCGGGAGACCAAGGCTGGCGAATGCTTGAGGCCAAGAGTTTGAGACTGGCCTGGGCATTATGACGAGACCCCCATCTCTACAAAAAATACAAAAATTAGCCAGGTGTGGTGGCCCATGACCATAGTCCTAACTACTTGGGAGGCTGAGGTGGGAGGATCGCTGGAGTCCAGGTGTTTAAAGCTGCAGTGAGCCAAGATTGCAGCACTGTACTCTAGAGCCTGGGCAACATAGCAAGACCCTGTCTCTACAAAAGTTAAGAATTAGCCAGGTCACGCTGGGCATGGCAGCTCATGCCTGTAATCCCAGCACTTTGGGAGGCCGAGGTGGGTGGATCACGAGATCAGGAGATCGAGACCATCCTGGCTAACACAGTGAAACCCCATCTCTACTAAAAATACAAAAAGTTAGCCAGGCGTGGTGGCGGGCACCTGTAGTCCCAGCTACTCGGGAGGCTGAGGTAGGAGAATGGAGGTGGAGCTTGCAGTGAGCTGAGATCGTGCCACTGCACTCCAGCCTGGGCGACAGAGTGAGACTCCATCTCAAAAAAAAAAAACAAAAAAAAAACTTAGGTCAGCCAGGTGCGGAGGTGACTCACACCTGTAATCCTAGCACTTTAGGAGGCCAAGGTGGGCAGATCACTTGAGGTCAGGAGTTTGAGACCAGCCTGGCCAATATGGTGAAAACTCATCTCTATTATAAATGCAAAAAGTAGCCCTGTGTGGTGGTGCACACCTGTACCTGCACCCAGCTACTTGGGGGGCATGAGGCAGGAGGGTTGCTTGAATCTGGGAGGAGGAGGCTGCAGTGAGCTGAGATCATGCCACTGCATTCTAGCCTGGGTCACAAAGTGAGACCCTGTCTCAAAAAAAAAAAAAAAAGAAAGAAAGAAAAAATTAGCCAGGTATGGTGACATGTGCGTAGAGTTCCAGCTACTTGAGAGACTAAGTAAGGCAGGAGGATTGCTTGAGCCTGGGGGTTAAAGGCTGCAGTAAGCTATGATCATGCCTCTGCACTCCAGCCTGAGCAACAGGGTGAGACCCTGTCTCAAAAATACATATATATGTTTGTTACTATATACCTAGAATATTCAAGAATTATTTACCAGAAACTGGTAACAGTGGTCTCATCCAAGGTGAAGAATGGGTGACTGGGGGATAGTGATGGGAGAGGGACTTCCTTTGTTTCTTTGAATTTGGTATTAATATGCACATACCTATTCCAAAAATGATTTTTTTTTTTGAGATGAAGTCTTGTTCTGTTGCTCAGGCTGGAGTGCAGTGGCACAATCTCGGCTCACTGCAACCTCTGCCTCCCGGGTTCAAGCGATTCTCCTGCCTCAGCCTCTCGAGTAGCTGTGATTACAGCATGCGCTACCATGTCTGGCTAATGTTTGTATTTTTAGTAGAGACAGGGTTTTACCATGTTGGCTAGGCTGGTCTCAAACTCCTGACTTCAAGTGATCCACTCACTTTGACCTCCGGGGGTGCTGCGATTACAGGTGTGAGGCATCACACCTGGCCTGAAATGACTTTTTAAAAGAGCATAGCAATCTGGATGCCCAGTAATAAGAGGGTATCATACAGCCATATATGATGCATTATTATTATTATTATTATTATTATTATTATTATTATTTTGAGACAGAGTCTTGCTCTCGTCTCCCAGACTGGAGTGCAATGACTCGATCTCGGCTCACTGCAACCTCCGTCCCCCCAGGTTCAAGCGATTCTCCTGCCTCAGCCTCCCGAGTAGCTGGGATTACAGGCGCGTGTCACCACGCCCAGCTAATTTTTGTATTTTTAGGAAAGACAGATTTTGCCATGTTGGCCAGGCAGGTCTGGAACTCCTGACCTCAGGTGATCCATCCGCCTCGGCCTCTCAAAGTGCTGGGATTACAAGCTTGAGCCACTGCACCTGGCCTATGATGCATTATTGTGCAACCATTAGTAAACATGTTTGGAAGAACAGAGATGTTATAATATTTAAAATGAAAAAATATTTTAAGTTGTATATAGGGTTTCCTGATTTTCTTTTGTATATACTTCAAATAAAGACTGAAAGGAAAAGAACTGTAGCAGGTTGTCAATAATGGTCATCTCTGATTAATGGGGTCATGGGTTAAACTTCTCAGAATTTTTCATTTTCCACAAGGATAATATTATTATTAGAAGGAAATGTTATTTGAAATAGCTAATTCTATCATCTGTATGCACTGTAAGACATAATTTCTCCTCACTACTGACTGTGCGGAAAACACAGACCATCATTCTTCAGCTCAATTTAAAGTAAACCATATAAAGTCCCTGCTGTTTTAAAAAGATGGAAGGTTGTGGAGGAACTGTGTCCTGTAGATTTGAAAGCTCTTACTTACCTTTCAATTCTCTTCATTCCTCTCTACCTTTAAACAAACAAAATAACACAAAAAACACAAAAAACAAAAACTATATTTGCCTTGGGAAGAAAAACAACTTAAGTACTCAGGTCAAAACATTATCTAAAGAAGAGGAGAAACCCTTAGACAGGCGTGGTGCATGCCTGTAATCCCAGCTACTCGGGAGGCTGAGGCAGGAGAATGGCTTGATCCCGGGAGGCGGAAGTTGCAGTGAGCCAAGATCGCGCCACTGCACTCCAGCCTGGGCAACAAGAGCAAAACTGTCCCCCCCAAAAAAAGAAGAAGAATAAGGAAAAAAGGAATGAAAATTGAGACTTTTCTCCCCCTTCCCTTTCCCAAAAACTCCATCTCCCCATTGAATTCTGAGTGAATTTACCATACGAAGATGAGGTTGGTGGTGTTTCATTTCTGGGTCAAACAAACTAAATGTGATTTCTGTTGCTGCCTATAGGGCTCTATCAAATCCTTAACTTTTTTCTCCTTCCCTAACCTTTCCTGAATTTATTATTTCTTCTAATTGTGCCCTACTCTTTCCTCAACGTCTCATCTTCTGCACATTAAACAATACTAAACATAGGAGGAACTCAATAAATGGTGAGTGGAAGTGGGGAGGCAGAGAGGGATAGAAAAATAGGTGTATGGACAGCAAGGCCATTACGGAGTGTTCCCTTTTGGGGGTGAAGGGGCACTCAAAAATTATTAATTATTTAATTAATCTTGAAAAAGAGGCCAGTTTTCTAAGGGTGAAATTTGGGCTTGAAGGCTATATGTCATCTTTGCAACTCTTACAAAGACACTGAATCCCTCGTTTCAGCTTTACATGTGAACTTGATCCTAGTTTCTGGCAAGACTTATTCAAACCCTTGGGTAAATTATTATAAATATTGCTACACATAGTAGGGCCATCTCCGCCATTTGCTGGATGGGTGGAATTAGCCATAATGCTCTGGAACTGGTATGTACAGAATAAATGCTTTCTGCTTTGTGGAATCCTAAAGGCTCTATACATCACATGGTATCAGTGATTATATTTCATTTTAAAATTTATATTTAGTGAAATTGAAAGAATGGAGGTGATATGGTTTGGCTATGTCCCCACCCAAGTCTCATCTTGAATTGTAGCTCCCATAATTCCCACGTGTTGTGGGAGGAACCCAGGGGGAGAAAATTGAATCATGGGGATGGTTTCCCCCATACTGTTCTCATGGTAGTGAGTCACTCTTATGAGATCTGATGGTTTTATAAAGGTTTCCCCTTTTGCTTGGCTTTCGTTCTCTCTTGCCTGCCGCCATGTAAGACATGACTTTTGCCTTCCACCATGATTGTGAGGCCTCCCCAGCCACATGGAACTACGAGTCCATTAAACCTCTTTCTCTTTGTAGATTACCCAGTCTTGGTATGTTTTTATCAGCAATGTGAAAACAGACTAATGTAGGAGGGAAAAGGAAGCACACCATGAAAAGAATAAATAAAGTGCAGACCCAAGTTTATATAATTCTTATACAACTTTTATATGACCTTTAGAAACCTCTGGAAAGTTCCAAAGTCTATCTGAGCCCCAATTTCCTCATTGGCAATATGGGAGTAATAATTGTACTTACCTCCCTAGGTTGCTATGAAGATGATTAATAGGTGCTCTATAAATATTAATTGACTCTGATTCTAAATCTGAATTAGAATTTAAAGCAAATGCTAATTTACTTTAAATCTGCCTGGGTAGGAAACACTTCAGGTAGGAGGTGACCATTTAAGCTATGGTTTGGAGGCAAAGGACAAAAAAAGTTATCTCAGGCCCAGGATGACAGTTCAAACCCTAGAGAAAGTGGGCATATAAACTGAGGGGGTTGTTCGATTTGGTTTTGTTTAATTGTAATTGTTTTTCCAGGTGTGCTGGCATTGGAAGAACCTAGCCGAGCTGGATCAGCTCTGGATGCTGAAATGTTTACGGTTTAACTGGTACATCAATTTCTCTCCAACTCCCTTTGAGCAGGGGATCTGGAAGAAGCACTATATTCAAATGGTGAAAGAACTTCATGTTACCAAGCCTAAGGTGAATTTTAGACAAAAAGCCGCAAGCTTGCAAACATTGACTCTTTGCAAATTCTAGAACTAAGAATAAAGGATCAGATTGGAAATTGGGGAAGGGAGGTAGTTCAAAGGACATATACTATGATTTCAAAATTCTCCTTTCCTGAGATTTGATAGTTGTTTTCAAGACATTCATGTTAGTTGAGAGCCCTCATTTGCCACGCCCAAACCACAGTTGCATCCAGGTGGTTAGGACCATGGAACTTTTTTTCTGTCCAGGTCCCTGGTTTCTGTGTCTCTGACAGCGACATCAGACGGTTCTTACATGGGAACTCTGTGGGTAATGTGAAGTATTTTTTACCTATGGGTCTTCAAGTTTTACTTTACTAATTCAAATTTTCTGTGATTGTACCAGGTGAGCTGAAGTTTATTTTTGTATCGTTTATAAGGAAAAGTTTTCTAATAAATGAGTCATCAGGGAAGGGCCCCATGGGCATATTGGAATTCTTAGTTTTTGCTAGGAACTAAGCAATGTACAGCATTTATGCGTTCTAACCAATGCTTATATTCATTCGTATAGTCCCAGCTAATGAGATAATTTATGGGAAAATTTTATGAGCCCTTTGTTTATAGTATTATCTATACACATGCAGAGTTGTGCATAATTTGTGTAATAGATGAGTTCCTGAAAAATTATGTGTAAATTACATTTTTAAAATGATTTTTAAAACCACAGGGGTATTAAAGCTTGTGAAAAAAACAGCAATGAATCCTGTTAAAATGGGAGAATCCTTTTGAAATATGAACAGTCAACTCCTAGCTTGCTTATTTCAGTTTAGGCTTTATTGTGTTTTCTTGAAATAGGCTCCATCTACACTTAATACAGTAATAAACTGTGCATAATTAATATTGTTACAATTGCAATGATAAAAGTCTTTCTGATTTCAGTAGTTGGTATGCTCCATGAGGATTTCTTTTAAAAAGAGAGTTTTAAGTGAAGAATTTTTAAAGTTCTCTTGAAAATTCCCGTAGCTCTGACTCCTTTCCTAGTGAGACTTCTCCTGCATCTCATTCTCAGGAAGCAATAGTGGAAGCTCAGGCTGTTCAGGGGCAGAGGAGAGAAAAGTGATTAACCAACTAGTAAAATGAAAAGAAGTTGTGAGTTTTTAATATATATATATATATT